ATACACGAGCCGAGTTTCTTGCCGGCTCGGTCGTTTTAACGGTCGCGATGTTTAGATTCCGCGATCGGAAAAAGTTCGAATCGGGCAGAGCGCGACGGAGTACGAAGACACGCGCGTGACGTGTCACCGGGGAGCGAGCGAGATAGCGATACCTCGTGATTCCCACCTCGCGACGATCGAGGTAACGGCCGATTTCGGCAAGACGATCATTCCGTTAGGAGATTTCCGTGATCGAGGAGTTCGTCACGAGTGATTTCGTCTCGAGGTTTCCGCGGTTTTAAGTGTTCTGCGTATTGACTGTGTCCGTGACAGAGGATTGCTTCTCAATCATTCCTGTTCCGGCTTTTATATCACTGAGTTCCGCGTATCGGTTCTTCCAGTGCAAAGAAGTGCGGCGCGATTAATTCCAGTTAGAGATTCGGAGTCGGTTCAGTTTCGATATCGAGGCTTCTCGTGTTGAGGGTATCGAATCGAAGCGTTAAAAGAAATCGGCGTTTGTTGCGAGTGTCGGAGTTAATAGTGCCGAAGTTTGAACTCGAGCGACGATTCATACCGTGTCGAGTTCCATGTGTCGAGTTTTCCACCGTGCGGACCCCAAGAGCTGCTGAATACATCACCATTACGAGTGTGACCTGCCTGGTGGAGGATACCAAGGTGGAACCCAGCCTTGGTGAATACATCACCATTGCGAGTGTGACCTGCCCGGTGGACTACGCGTCGGACGTTCAACCGTGCGGACCCCAATCGCTGGAGAATAACCAGCGTTGGTGAATACAGCACCTTGTGAGTGCGACCTGCACGGCGAAGGACATACCGATTGGATTCGGGTGTCCGCGAACGTTCGATCGACGGCTGTCTCCTGTGGTCTAACTAGAAGACGTACGTGAAGGAGCAGCCACCGTATTCGCGTGGTTTCCGAATACGGGACGTGCTTAAGTCAGGTAACTCTGCACTTTCTGCTGCAGCTCATCACTCACCGGGTCTCAGCCCGGCCGATAGAATTCGGTACCGTCTAGCGCTGGGACTTGAGGTCCTACAGAGGCCTCCACTCTTACAAAGTGCAACGAGGAGGTGAGCATTGGCAGCAGAACACCGTTCGTTGAGAAATCAACATATACGGGTCCGGTCCCTTTTCGGAGTAATTCGAAAGACCGAAGCAGAGTGCGGAAAGCCTCCGAAATATACAGTCCACTTAGCACGCTGCTGAGTTGATTCAGCGTGCGGCTCGAACATTGCCGTGAGCCTATATTTATTGAATTGTGTCTTTGCGGCGATCGCGACAGCAGACGGCAGGAGCGAGGGAGCTGACGTCGTCGTTAAACGCGAGCAAAGACGGAGGATTGAAGGACGGCCAGTCGGACGCGGAAAATTCCCGGCTATCCCGGACCCTACGAAATCCTTCACGAGAAAGACAAATCAAAGGTTTCAATAAACCAGGTTCTTATTTTGATAAACTGCTGATCGAGTTATTTCGAACACCCGTTCTCTCGGCCGAACCCCGTTAGGACCACCTATCCCTAACACTAGGTATGTATACATTATTATAAAAAAATTGCAATAAATTGTACTATCATTTAGACAATTGTGCATTATAAAGAATCTTATTTTTCATGTTTTACAGGTTCCAGCAACAACGTGAGAGGATAACCAGGCTCATCAGGCATAAGAGGCTTTAGGAGAATAAGGGAAAGAATTTTACCTTTTCATTCTCGGTATGTATACATTATTGTAAGAAAATTATAATAAATTATACTCTAAATTATAATATAATATAAATATAATTATAATATATTATATATATAATATTATAATATAAATTATAATATATATTATATTATTTAGGCAAGTGTATTATAAAAAATTGTATTTTTCATGTTTTACAGATTCCAACCACGTAAAGAGGACCGAGATGACCAGGATTCCAGCCACATCGTCGGACATATACTTCAATATATATAAAGTATATTATATATTCACATAAGAAAAACGGAAAATAAATTTTGCCTATATAAATAACTATTCAATTGTATCATTTATGTTATAATTACCTTTATATTTTTCAGAAGGTGAACGAAGGAAAGAGCGAATGCAATTCGAAGATTACTATTTCAAACGATGTAGGAAAACATTAAATATTTTCCTATATTATTTGAAATTGTACTCTTTGAATTGTATCCGTTCTTTCCTTGGTTCACTTTTTTATACAGGGTGTCCCAGCTAACTCTGGTATCTCAAATATGTCGCTTGTTTTTTATGATAGAAAAAGTGTTAGAAGAAAAAGTTATTGTACACGATGGCGCACATATTCTGATTAGTAAAAAATTTTGCTCAAGGTTATTTTTTTCGAGATTACAAGGTCATCGGTGTTTTTTTTTTAATGGAACCATATATTTTTGTTATCATACGATGATAGCTGAGGGCAAGGCGAGTTCATTGACCTATGACACTACGACCTTCAAATGACCTTGTTTGGAAACTGATTTATATGGTAAAATTTTAATTCATACAATTGTAGGAGGCGCTGGAAACTGTGCTTCAACTCGCTACACGTAGGTTTGCCCCCCCCCCAGCTTTACACTGTCTCATCCATCACAATACTGCCCCCCTTTCTTTAGAATGGTCATCCCGACCGCAGCGGATTCACGTTCGGCAGGCAACTTCCAACTCAGTCTTCGAATTCCTCTTGAACACCTCTGTCTGTAAAGGAGGTAAACCAAACGACCGAAACCTTTACATGAGTGACCTTTGACAGATGGTAAGCGCCTTGACATTTGTCCACCGTCTCAAGGAAAACCATCTAAAAACGTTGAGCAAGACGCCGGTGAAGATTCTCTCATTCTTATCCTTGTCTTATTCTTCCGGCATCCTCTCGTGGAGTATCATAACGTGCCAGTCGGTTCACATGGATGACCTTCGGCTTCAATTTTGAAGAGCGAACAATCCGATAGGTCAGCTCATTCAATCGACTCTTCACCTCGTAAGGACCTTCCCAATAAGACTGGAGATCCGGACATCTTCCTTTTACTCTTCGGGGATTGTACAACCGAACCTTCTCCCTAGGACTAAAGGAAAATGGTTTTGAATACGAGTCATACCATGACTTCATCTTCTCTGAACAAATCTTCATCCGTTGGCGTACAAACTGATGTACTTTATTAATTTTCTCCCGTGGCTCTTCAATGTAAGCATTCTCCTCCCTCTGTTCACAAGGCGCTGCCCCTCTCAGAAGATCCAGCGGGAGACGTAATTCTAGACCCAAAAGAACCATAGACGGACTATGCTGGGTAACTTCGTGTCTTGATGTTCGATACATTAGCAGGAACATCGGAATCCATTTGTACCAATTTCTTTGGTGGTCGGCAACAAACTGGTACAAATACTGCAATAAGGTTCGAATCATCCGTTCCACGAGCCCATCTGACTGAGGGTGTATAGGAGTTGTCCTTGTCTTCTTGATCCCAAGCATTTTCATCAATTCCTTAAAGA